GCCCTCTATGTGCATCTTTTCTTTTCCGTCGTTTTGCTGTTCGCATTCGGTATCTGGAAAGACTTGGCGTGCAAGCCTGCAAGGCGATTGCGGATTTCGGAAGTTCCACCGAAGGCCACGGCAGAGAGGACCTAGCCAACCGCGCTTCCAAGTACAGAGGGACTCACCAGTCGTCCTGTCGTTCCGATTCTTTTTTTTCCTGTTTCGCTTGTTTTTAAGATTTTAAATGGCTATGGCCTTGAGATCTCATCTTCCAGCCGACCAGCCCCAGGTAAAGGGCCTCGCTCCACTACTCACAAAATGTGCAAAACAAGAACGAGTCTTGTGCTAGAACATGGAAAGATACACCGCCTCGCAGTTATTATACTCATCTGATGTCAGTGACATCGGATCTCACTTCAGTGGGCTGATGCCGTTTTAGCCGGATTACCAAATGGGCCTCGTGAGCCGCCCCCAATAAGGCCGTGGAAACAAGGCGCTTTACTGTCGATGAACAAAAGATAACGATCAGAGCGAAGCACGTGCGAGAAGACAAGGGGGAAAAGAGAAGGCAGAGAGGGAAAGGAATATTTTGCGGTGATATTTTCACACTGTGGGCCTCGCTGCACTACTCTCGAAATGTGCAAAACGAGAGTGAATCTTCCGCTAGAACATGGAAAGATACACGGCCATGATTTTTGTCTTTTGTGCATTTCAAGAGTAGTGCAGCGAGGCCCTGTCTTCGGCGAAATTCGTTTGAGCGACAATCGCGCCTTTCATTGACAAATTGTCGCATTCACGCACTCCATTACGTAGCCTCACGGTTTGCGCCGCCTCCTTGCGTGGCGCCGGCCTTGAGACATCATTGCCGAGCGCACCAGGCATAAGTTATTATTTGATGTCACCAGGCATAAGTTATTATTTGATGTCGACCATCTAGTTCCGTCTGGTCGCGAACATAAGGTTGCATTTTCACATTTCACGGTTGCACCGACTAATGGCATACTCACACGGCGACCCCAAATCCGCAAAATATGCGGATCTGGGGGGGGGAGGATGAACATCATGCAGAGGAGAGCCTGACACGAGTAGCTCCTGCATTTTTTAATAATAATAATATTATTATTATTATTATTATTATTATTATTATTATTATTATAAAGGGGGCCCTTTTCAGGCTTCCATTATGCTCAAATAACCATGAGGCCGGGAATCCCTCAACAATCAACCCGGAAAAGAAAGGTCTGGGAGCATTACCCAGTTTCGCTTCAGGCATTGGGAAAATCCTTCTAGGAACAGAATGGCCAAATCTAGACCGATGTCCTGAAATTCCACAACCCTGGGGCCTGGACCCACTAGCAAGGTATTCTACCACGCCGTTCAGGATTTCGATCACGTGTGGCATCGAGTGACTCAGTACAGCCGTCGAATAGATCGGATCTCGACGGCCTGGTAGTTTCCGAGCGGGGACTGTAAAGATGCCCACCTCCCGTCCAATGAGATGCGTCGAAAAAAGAAAAAAAAAACAGAAGTTGGGCTAACTTGGACATGATAGCTCGTGGCTTTGCGTGGGCGGGAAGTCAGGATTTTATGGGCTCTAAAGGGGGGGGGTTGATTTCCAGACTTGGTTTTTCCTTTTTTTTGGCTCTGAGAAATAGAACTTGAAATGTGAAATTCGAATATTGTGGTGCATCTGTCGGATGGCCTGCTAAAGGCATCATGAGATACATTGCGAGGAATGTATCCCAATACCCGTTACTTGTTCATCCTCGTGAATGTGTTTGTGGACACATTTTATGGCCACGGTACATCACTATGAAGACTTACGTGACGGAGATCGTACCAACCCATGAATTCAGGTGCATAGCTGTTCTTCATAGTTTTATGTGCTATTTCAATTCATTTTAAATCAGAAAACGATCCATTCATGCAAATAAAAAATCACTTTGTATTTTCCAAAAAACCATAAAACTGTGTCACACGTCCTAGAATACTTCGCTAGTGGGTCCAGGCCCCTGGGAAAAAAAAGGGAAAAACAAACAACAAGCATCAATGCCACCAAGGCCTGCAAAGCCACACAAGTCTACAAAAGAAAAAAGAAAAAAAGGAAAGGAGAAAAAAAGAAAAAAAGAAAGAAGAGAAAAAAAAACAAGACGCACCAACCACCCACAAAACAAAACCCACCTCTCCCCCCCATTCTAGCCTCCTCTCCAATTAACTACCCCACTCCTACTCCAACCAAGGCTTCTACTGCTATTCTACTAGTTTCGTACTTCACTTCAAACACTCATTATATCTCACTCTACCACACCAACTAGCAATCCTCCCTAACTACATACCACCTAAAGCGGTGGTGGGTAACTCCGCTCGAGATACCACTACCTGTTTCATCCGTCACTCCCTCCTTCCTAAACCCATCTGCCTGTCCACTGCGACCCAACCATCAACCGAGCGGATAGGTTGTTCCTTCTGACAGATTTAAAAATATAGCCACTCCTTCAGTACCAACTTGCCTTCCTCCGAACCAAAGACAAGCAGCCATACTGTGGCTACTGTCAATGGTTGCCACCCCATCAGCAGTATATCTAGTAGAGCATGGAATGAAGATTGAGATGACATGTCAGCCATGCCAATGGGCATTTGAATCAACAGTACATCTGTGGTGGGGCTGCCCAGCATAGACACAAATCTGGAAGTGGTGGACCAGTAAATGGAATCAACTATCGAATGCAGCTGTACCATGGGACAAAATCTGGACCTTGCTAGGCGGAGTACCAGACGGAATACCGTTGATGGAAGGTTGGGGCTACGTGGCCCAAGTCTCAAGGGCTGTAATCTGTGCAACGATATGGCAGAGCAGGAATGACCGAGTGTTTAAACATGAAGACTGGACAAACAAACAGTTACGAGCAACAGCGCAACAAGGCATCAGACAGCCAGTGCTAGCAGACTGGAGAAGAAAGGTAACGAAGGCAGACAGCACAGCAAGAGGGATCGTTTGGTTCAAGAAGACATGGTGCTGCAATGGCACCTTTACCTCCATTTCGGAGGAAGACAAGTTGGTACTGAAGGAGTGGCTCCTGCATTTTAAACCACCAGTACCTCGCCCAGCTGTAAACAAAAGTAGCCGTCATTAACGCGCCGCCACTTTCGGGGGTCGGGGAGACCAATGCCCGGTCGCTGCAATTTTCTGAAAAAACAAAATTCGCAAAATTAGAAAATAACAAACCATTTTCCACGATTCAAATTTCCCATAAAACCATGGTGTCGGGTGGGCCTAAAATGTTTTCGTTACCGGTACCCCTATGTGACACCCGCGGCCTAGGCCGTGGGCATTTTGGCCGCTGCGGCCGAGATTCTCGGCTGCGGCCGTGGCCGATGAGGCCCAGTCCGCGGCCTGTTTTTTCAATATTTCTCCCCCCCCCAAAAAAAAATACGTAAAAAAAAAAA